AGAGAGAGAGAGAGAGAGAGAGAGAGAGAGAGAGAGAGAGGAAAGAAGGGGGAGGGACATAAATATTTAGGGGAATAAAATCTTACCAATTTTAGGCGGACAATCAGATTCGCATGCGTCTCTAGATTCAAAATTATTTTTATTGCCATTGCAGCCAGTGTAATAGAATGGCATGCAGCGATTCTCCGATTGATCAAAATACCATCGAGATTGCTTCTCTATGCATGTACCCTCTGCCCGCGGCAACGTGCAAATATCTGTTAATCGTATTAATTATTATGTCATGCAGAGTTAGATAAGACATTAATCAATCCTATTCCAATTCCAGCGATTTCATTATACCTGTCGTTAGTTAAAAAATTCTTATTCCTACTGTTAGCCAGATTGCTCAGCAGTTACTTAACAGCTATGAATATGCACTCAATTTAAGTAAATAGTTTATAAGAACCCAAATTTATTAATTTCTATTCTATCACTGCCATATATTAATGCTAGAGAGTCATAAAAATCATAAATATTATAATGTATGTACACACATGCATACGCGCGCACGTGCGGGTCTTAACACATACAAATAGAGTATATGTTCTTCATAAAATTATTATATATAATTAAAAACTTGTAAAATTAAATATTATAGTAAGTATATAAATAATTTATAAAATATTACAATACAATTCTCTCTTAATTGACGACAATCAGGTTTATCAAGTTTACGTTAATCCTATTGTAAGAAAGATTAAAGAATTCATATTTTTATATTATGTTGGGCGAGATTACGAGCAAGTGAAAGCGTGTATACAAATCAAAAATCGTATGAAAGCTAACGCGTGATTGTGAATCATGTGATTGGATTATTCTATAGTCTCATATTGTGCTGCCGACATGTAATAGCTGGTAACGACTCATTGGGTACATTCAGTACTACAACTCACTTCTTCAGAGCTCTTGCATATATGATTGGTATATTTCTAGATTTAAAAATAAAGGCCATACAGGTACAAGAGACGCTCAGTGAGCGGTCGTAGTACTGATGAATGCATCCATAGTCAGCTTTGCATTAAATACTACTTTCGGTTACCATCACCTAAAACTAAATTTGTTCCAAAAAAAGGAAGAAAATAACACGCTTTCTCAAAATTGAGCAAAAAAAAGTATTGAGTTTTCTTGTCACTGTGCATGATGTTACCACGAAGCAAGCTCTTTTTTCATTGTTGTCTATACCTTGTGAAGGACAACGCTGCTGGCAGGCAGCAAGAGTACGGAATCTATTGGCATTGCCTTTACAACCACCGTAAACAAATTGGGTACAAGTGACACGTTCGATATCGTAATACCAGCGTAATGCCGAACCCGGACAGGGTCCGGGATCTCTCTTCAAGGTGCATACATCAGACAGTTTTACTGTAAAAGTTCGTCCATCTATGCAATCAAGTCGATGAAGAACGACTAGAGAAACGATTAGAAGTAATACCGGTGATTCAATCGAATTTTGAATAAGCCCAACATACTTACAAAAGTATTACTCATTATTGATAAATAATGCTTTACTTATCTGCTGAATAATCCCATAATGTGCTTTTATTATACTTTTCAGTCAAAAATATAAATATTATATTATTGTAAATATTAAATTCCTATTATTAATTTTATTTAAATTTTATCTCACAAATTTCTTTTATATTCTATAAAATGACGATTCTTTAATTTTGATAAATTTTTATATCCATATTCAAATATACAGGGTGTTTCGAAAATAATAATAAATCTTTCGCATAGGGGCAAAATGGACTAAAGACTGAGAAGAAAAGTCCTCTATTATTTTGCAATTTTCGCAATAATTAACAAGATATTAATTGCCGAAAATTAACTCAATAATCAATAATTTTTTACTCAAATACTATTCATCAATTTTACAGAAAAACTGCAACAAATAAAAATTGTTTATTTTCTTCTCATAGAGCTTAAGAATCTTTTAAGAATGTTTTTAGAATTTTTTATACCGTATTTTCTCATGTTAGTAAAAATAAGAAAATGCAATATTAAAAAGTTAATAAAACATTCTGAAAAAAATTCGTAGTTTTCTATGAAAAAAAAACAATTTTCGTCTCTGGTAATTTTTCTATAAAGTTAATAGTATTTGAGTAAAAAATTATTAAAGATCAATTTTCGGCAATTTTTAGCAATTAATATCTTGTTAACAATTGCGAAAATTGCAAATGGTAGAGAACATTTCTTCTCACTTTAATCCATTCTATTCCTGCGAAAGATTTATCATTATTTTCCAAACACCCTGTATATAGATGTATATAAAAGTTAAATATGTGTTTTATATATATATATACATATATTATTAATCAGATTTATATAATAGATTTAACTTATTAGATTAGAAAATTTAATAAAGTCGATAGTCATTATTAAAGAGCCCGGATTATCCGCCGATTAACGCGCGACGTATCAATTCGAATCGATCGTAGCCCGTTCCTCACAATTCTCCCCATTGACACTCGCCCGAAGCCATAGCGAATGATGAAGCGATGGCGCTTAGGGGATGAGATGTAGTGAGGAGAGCTAGCTACGGTTGATGCGATCTCAGAACTTTAATCCGGGCTCTAGTCATTATTGTCACAAATATTAAATAGATAAAAATATTAACATTTCATATAATATATTATAAAAACATTAATTTTCAAACTTGAAATTAATTAAAAAAAAAAATAATTATATAATATCTCGTCGATAGCCAAGATTCATTAAAAGTAACAGATACTGATTAAAGTAATTTGAAAAAATATTTTTAGATGAATGTCACATAGATAATTTTTGTAATTTATGTAAAATACACGAATTTTAATGCTTATATAAAAAGCGATACCAATATATAAATAAAACGAACCTTTTCTTCGACCTGGCTGTAAGCATTGTTGGTGGCAAGCAATTTCTGTCGGAAAGTTGTTGTCATTCGCTTTGCAACCACCGTATACGAATTGTTCGCAAGTTTGCGATTCTCGGTTGAAGTACCATTTTGTGAAATTGCCTGCGCAAGGACCTGCTTCTTTCGGCTGATCGCAAGGATCTGTAAAAGTAAAGTTTAAATGAGAAACTTACAACTCTGTCAGTTTGGTTGATTCATGAATTTTCTCAAGTGCAATATATATTTTATTTATTATTCGATTAAATTCAGTGTGTAATGTGTAAG